AGGTTATTACATCATCTAAAAGGATAATTGGTTTGTCGCTAAACGTCGAAGATAAACTTTCAGTTTCCTGCGATAGCCTGTTTGATCAAGATTAATGACCACAACTTTGTTTCGATCGACATGATGCTAATTAAAAGTCAATTTCACGAGTCAATTAGCTGCCCCCTAAAAGAAAACTGAATAAACACTTTCGGATATGACATGAAATCAATTTTTAAGAGAGTGAATACCAATTGATTAAGAGGTTTGTCAATATTTGTATATCTTACGAGACGAAACAAAATGGTTATGTGATAAATTCCATGCTTAATGTACTACATCTAGTAAAAAAGTTGTTTTTTCTATTCTTTTCTAGAACGAATTGGGAAATTAATTCAACAAATGTCTAAGGTATTAGTTAATTTATTCAAACCTTCATGGATCTATAAACAACCCAATGAACCATGATATAACTAGAGAAATAATATGTCTGTGGTTGGCGACATACTAACTTGCGACTTGGTCACGCCGCGTCACCGCTCAAGCTTCGCTTCAACTGCAAGAAATTGATGACACTCGCGTCTGCACCAAATCTCCTAATGTAGATATTATTGGTCCATATCACTGGGAGATCTGTAGCCCTAATTGTGGCCAGTGCACCGCTTAAAGAAGCAACCCCCCAACCCTTACCGTTTTGCCCGAAAAAGGTCAATACCAGAAAAGTTGAATCTCCTAATATGGTGATTTTTGGGCCATATTATAACGAGCACGAGTGTGTTTGTGTACGATCGCGCACACGTGTACGTAAACGGCTTATCGATTCGCCGACTAGTCGCGGGCGCCTTTCTTCATGTGCGCCGTATTTGTATACGTGTGTGTCGTACCTGCGTTCTGGGAAAGCAGTTAAACAGTTCAAACGAAAAAATAAACTATCCGGATGTTTCCAGAAGGTTCTAGAAAGTAAACAAAAGAGTATTTAAAGGAAGGGACGATCTCCGAGAGGAGGAGAAATAAATTGACCTTTACAGAAATGAATCCAGAAATAAATTGACAGTGATAGAAGTGAAATAAATAGAACAGTGAATGGTGTTATATTAATTAGTGTAAATAAGTAGTTTTTGTCGTTATCAGTCTTAGTAGTTAATTTTGTTAAACCCACGAACATTACAATATCATTAGGGGATTCTGTAGGATTAATTGTGGTCAATGCATCGCTTAAAGAAGCAACCCCTCAACCCTTATCATTTTGCCTGAAAAAAAAACAGAAAAGAAAAATATATCAGTGTGGTGATTATTGACCCATAGCAGCAACAATTTTTCCACTTNGAGAGTTGTGCATTTTTGATATAATGTGCATGTTTCGTCCACGAATAAAATGATATAAAAATTAACCATAAAATGTAAAGGGGTGGTGAAAAAAAATAATAAAAACACTACCCAAATGGTTTTTTGAAGATACGAAAAAAGTTGTAGAAAAAAAATATATCTACATAAAAAATTGCTAATGTATATTTTTCGTAAATGCGACAGATTACGAGGAAATCGCGTGTAAACTTTTCATCTTAGCGTGCAATGGCCTAAATTGAACAATTATGAAATTTCAATTTTTTTTTTATTATCTACGAAACATTGTCAATCTTAGCAGTGAAATATTTTTAATTGTTATAAACAATTTAATATTTAATAAAATAATAAACACAGACTTATATTATACTGATGATGGGAGTAGTTAAGTACTACTACACAACAGGTATAATATCGCAAAAAACTAAATTCCAATAAAACTGAAAGAATAGTGCCAACAATACATACTTACTGACCGAAAAATAGTTTCTTAATGTCGATTCTTTTAAAATTTGTAAAACAAAATATCTTTGTCTAATGTTTTCTTACAAGATTATTTAAACTTCTACAAATCCTTAGAAATTCTTTCATTTCTGAAATCTCACTCCGATATCATCTTATAAAACTTAAAAAAGAAAATATGCCTTAATCAGAAATTACCGTTAGAAGTAAACCGTGAACGAGGAATTATACATTGAAGTGGAAAAATGACTCAAAATTATTTGTAAATAAATAATTACCCGAAAGTGTATAAAACCTTTAAACTGAAAAATTTTCTAGTTAAATACTATACACGTTTCATTAGTATCATTACACCATTGTACGCAAAAATTTGTAAAAACAACTGAAACCTTTAACTAATCTAATTTGCGCATTTGCTATTACTTTTAGGCATTCGAGGTATCTTCATCCAAAAGTGAGGCGCTTCAGGCAGTGCAAGACAACCCGACTGATCAGATTTTCTGTAATACGGCTATCTGATCAAAATACAGTCATCCCGTCATCTGATCAGTTCTTTATCACAATCTAATATCACGAATCTTATTACAGTTTCGGTATGCTGTTTAAATCAAGATTGTATCCGATGCCCTGAACTGAATTAGAATACAGATTTTAGTTTTCTATCTGATTCGTTCTGTATGTAACATTGTTTCATCATCATCATCATCATAGGGTCGTCAGTCCTACGACACGTACCTCCACTTTTTCCTATCCTGAGCTAAACTTCGCATTTCCCTAAAACTAGAACAACCCACATCCTCAACTATTTGCGAATAGTAATCTAATCTAGGTCTACCTCTACCCCTCCTAACTCCTGTTTCTGCCTCTAATATGTCTCTGACTAGACCTTCATGCCTGAGAAGGTGTCATACCAACCTATCTCCCCTATTTTTTATTGACTTCCATAGAGTCCTCTGTTCTCCTCCTCTTTCTAATACCTCTCAATTTCTAACCTTTTCTACCCACGTTATCCTCATCATTCGCCTATAACACCACATTTCGAAGGCTTTCTTTTCCGCCGCGCCCGCTGTCCATGTTTCAAACAATAAATTTCATATTAATGTTATGACTAAATTATTATTTTGATTATGTCAAAATGATGCATTTACTTAACTTAAATTTTTTTCTGAAGCAAATCTTATTATTTACGATTTTTTTAATAACTTTTTTAAAGTTAATTATGATATAATGAAATGAAACCAGCATAGATCTTTGGAACGGGTCCAGCATGGATCTTTGGAACGGATCCAGCATGGATCGTTTAAACAGATCCTGTGCGGATCATATAAGGCCTGACAATTTTTAATCATATCCAGATCAGGAAGCTTGATTTATTCATGATCGTCTTCAGGCAATTCTGATTCAGATCGGACCCTATACTGAACTAATTTCCGACCGGGAGGGACAGATGTTATGTTAAAAGCGTCGTTAACATTAGTTTATTTTTGCAGTTTTCTGTAGTTTGTGAGTCATAACTATGTTCCTACTGAGGTTGAGAATTTTACATTGTTTCCAATTGGCAGAAAGAATGATGGGTTTTTGTCTGCCTACATCCGTGTTGTGCTTCCCTGTCCCAGTGTATTTTTGAAGCAGCCTATCTTGCAATCTTCTACTTGATAATATTATGGCAAATTCCGAAAGGAGGTTCTGGGCCATTTACCCTCACTTCAACGATATTTTATTATCCACAAACAACGCGAGATTGATAATGTCTGTACTCTAAGTGGGTGAAACATCTATCCGCTCATCGAAAATTATTTGTGATAATTAGAGATGAATCTCTGTTTTAGTCGAAAAAATGGGTACGACGTTTCAACGTCATCCGGAATATGGATTCATTTTACGGTCACATGTTCGGATAATAAGGGGAGGGTTAGGTTTATAAGCAGGCGGACAGTTCATAGAGGATAAAAATACCCTTTTTCTGTAAATTATGTACGTCATCAAAATTGTACTTAATTTTTTACTTTTATTTATTTCTCCAATATCTGATGATATGTAAAAATTAGCTTTATGATAAAACTAAATCCATAAGGCGAAATCATGGTTAGTTACTACATTAATTAAAATTTTTTTGTTTTTTTATTAATAAATTTGAATTTGAATGGTGGCAAACAGGGGTGAAGCAGACAAAAATTATTGCAAAAATGTCATTCGCAATATGAAAAATTATGAACAAACCAAATTTTCGATTATCAAATATCCCAATCTTTCTTTGGCTGACGTCAAAAATATGTATGTATATTAAAAATGATTTGACCTTAAAATGATCTTAAAGTTTAAGGCTACATTTAATGTCATCGTCATCAATTGATTTCAAAAGCATACATTTTTAGTAGAATGAAGATTCGGTTTATAGGGCTGTGGTCCAACCATTCTGTCCAGAGGTTTCGTCAGCTACTGCGGCTGGCATCCTCACTGAGGACGGACCACGGCCTATAGTCCGAATCTTCATTCTGCTATGAATTCCAGTCGTGAAAGCCTTTGTCCTTATATAGCATACATCTTTGATCTATAATTGTGAGAAGCAATCAAGATATATGCAATAATGTTTATTTACTTCACCAATGATTTCAATTCTTATGTTCCGATTCACGTGTCCGTCCTTCGGGAATCCAAGGTCTACAATTCTGTACTTCTTTTTAGAGTACCTCCATGACGTAATTAAAAAAAGAACCAATGTAACATTATCATCCTCTATATCTACTCCATCAAATTATTGAAATCAAACTTTAAAATTAATTAATTAAAACGTGGTTACTTCTAGATAATCGATTGTTCACCGAAACTTAACAATAATAAATATCATTTACCCGACTCGTTCGCAAAAATTTTGTAATTCAACAATATTGATTGGGAAGAAAATTAATACTAAAAGAACTGATCCATGTTTTTGAGTTATAGTTACATGGTTAAGAAAAAGGATGGATTTCCTGCAAGCTTCAGAAAACGTCAATTTTTATGAATAACTTACGGTTACGTTAACTTTTTTCAATATTTTCTTCATCGTTTCTTAGTCACATTATGCAATCTAAATCTACTGTTTCGCTGTTGGGGTTCATATTCCTTGAACTTGTAAATATGCGCTTGATTGATTGTAAAATAAATTATTACAACTGCTTCTAAGCTATTCTTACGTGGAAAAAGAAAAACTATAAGTCACTATTAATATTCACCTTCACAATATCGACCGAACCATGGCTCAGGGACTTGGTGTGATGAGGATGGTGATGGTGGTGAAGTTGCTGCTGCTGCTGTTGAGACGGTTGCTGCGGACGGCATGGAGAAGCACTTCTGCTTGAAGTTTTACTTCCCGTTTGCTGCGGAGCCACATGGAGGCTGTCCATTAATTTTGACCTAAAACAAAACCAATATAAAATAGAATCAATCATCATGACACTATAAGACATTGAAGTTTTAATTTATCGTAGTCCTTTTCAAGTAACAAATTAATATCAATTTAGTCGCAACTTAAACTTTTGATGAGAAACACCCTGTATACCTTCTAATATTCTCTTAACATTTATACAGTGATTCAATACTGATGTCCATGAATATACATTATACTATAATATATGAGATGCGGGTCACTAACAGCTGACTGTAATACCGATATGCGCATGCGCACCTCTCTAATGCCATAGCCTATCGCTTCGCGAGACAAAACGTTGTAAAACGTGTCGTTGCATGGCCTTGAGATTTTACTCTCATCAAGCCCAAGAAGTTTAACTTCAAAACATGTATCAGTTAAAGTAGCAGCAAGAATATTAAAATACAAGAACAGGATCTTGACATAGTTTTTGATTAATAATTTCTCGGACGTCCCCACTTATTATGGGACACTTCGGGTGTCCAGACACGCAAGTCTTTCCGAAAACGTATCATGGTATGTCAAGATAGATGTATCACAAACATTAAGTTTAGACCGCAATACAGTAGTGTTCTACATTGAACAGAACCTTTGTAAAGCAGAAGTCCAAAAAAGAATACATAATTGACTTAAATTCAGTGAAGACAAATTGCAAAAGCATTCAAATAGCAGTAGAAGACATCGAAAAAAAAGTATTAAATTTCCAAGAATAAATCCAAGCACAAATTGCAGTCAACACAAGAAAAGTTGATTTCAAAATAACACATACCTTAAATATAACATCATTGTCACAAAGTATGCGACAACTCTTGCTAAACAAAAGTAAAGCAAGAAAGAACGCGCAACTAAAGGTACGTTTACGTACGTGGAAGATATTTCGGCCGAGAATAGACTCAAACGTGAACTGCATAAAGCCTCACGTGAACATAAACAAGAAAGTTGGGAAAACCATACGTCAGAAATAAGCAAAGACCCCTTTTTTTGCTTGGAAGTTTATACCTAAGCTGAAACAAAAGCAACTGATTGTTTCACCACACAAAGAAAAAACTTACAGTGCAGACTGTATGATTTTAGTGACGGTAAAATATAGGTAAAGGTAAAGCAGAGCATTGGCGCACTCGGTAAGGAAACAATACCAGAGGAACAGCTTCGAGTGGCTTACAGGAGGAAGAGAATTGTCCACAACTTAAAAGTCAAGAATACCCAGGATTGGATCTCATTACCAATAGGGCAATAAACAAAAACTAGAAAAAAAAGTTAAATTCTAGAAAATCGACAAGAACGTGCATCCCCAAATAGACCTCACATAGTCTATGATCTACGAGAATCACAATTCCCTGTCCCAAAACAAATTGCGATAAAGAACAACGAAAGATTGCGAAGCGATTAAAAGGTATTCGTATATCTAATCGATTTGGGGCACTACCACATGAGTCTGAAACCGAATCATCTTCAACTAACGATAGAGATATGAATACAGAGTTTAGTCGCTCCAAAACAGAAGAAATTTGATCGGTACCACCATAACGGAAATATTAGCGTACACACTGGCCTGATAGTCAACCAACATTTCAGCTTTGATCATAATCCAACAGAAGTAGTCAAATGCATAATAAGATTCACCAATCATCTGAAAGTAAGCACCGTCAACTGTAATTACAATTCATCATCATCATCATAAGGTCATCAGTCCTAAGACTGGTTGGACACGTACCTCCACTCTTTCCTATCCTGAGCTAAACTTCGCATTTCCCTAAAACTAGAACAGCCCACATCCTTAACTATTTGCGAAGAGTAATCTAATCTAGGTCTACCTCTACCCCTCCTAACTCCTGTTTCTGCCTCTAATATGTCTCTGACTAGACCTTCATGCCTGAGAAGGTGTCCTACCAACCTATCTCGCCTATTTTTTATTGACTTCCATAGAGTCCTCTGTTCTCCTATTCTTTCCAATACCTCTTCATTTCTAACCTTTTCTACCCACGATATCCTCATCATCCGCCTATAACACCACATTTCGAACGCTTCTAACCTTTTCTTTTCCGCCGCTCCCACTGTCCATGTTTCGCACCCGTACAACGCCGTGCTCCAAACATACACCTTTAACAACCTTTTTCGAATTTCTAAATTAACCGTTCGCGAGCATAGAAGTGACTTCTTTTTATTAAAGGCGACACGACCCTGCGCTATCCTCTGCTTTATATCCCTACTACTCCTTCCATCCTCACTTATCTGACTTCCTAGGTATCTAAAATCAGCCACTTCTTCTAATTTTTCGTCTCCTATCTTTATATTCGCTCTTTCCCTACTTTTTCTTCCCTTGCATACCAGTATTTTAGTTTTACTTTTATTTATTTTCATACAGTACTGATCTGTCAGTACCGCTTCCATTTTATTTAAAGCTATCTCTAGGTCCTCCTTGCTAGATGCTAATACTGCTATATCATCTGCAAATCTAAGCATACTAATCTTTTGCCCTTGCACATCTATCCCTACAGTTGTACTGTCTTTAATGATGTTGATGGCGTCTTCGATGTATAGATTAAAAAGTAGCGGTGACAGTGTGCATCCCTGCCTGACTCCCTTCCTAATATTTACTTCTCTACGTTGCATCCCCAGCTCTATAACTGCCTGTTGCTCTTTATACAAACTAAGTATCACTCTTCTATCTTTGTAATTCATCCCTACATTTTTAAGTATATTTAACATCTTGTCCCATTTAACATTGTCAAAAGCTTTCTCTAAATCTACAAATCCTATGTACGCACTCTTTCCTTTTTCTATCGTTTTCTCTATTGCTACCCGTAAAGCTAGAATGGCCTCCCGCGTTCCTCTATTTCTTCTAAACCCAAATTGATCTTCCCCTAATAGTTCTTCCGCCCTTTTTTCCATCCTCCTCTGTACAATTCTAGTTAAGATTTTTGACGCATGGGAAGTTAAGCTAATTGTTCGAAATTTCTCGCACCTATCCGCGCCCCTCTTCTTAGGTAATGTTACTACTACGTTCCGTTTATAATCCTCTGGGACTTTCCCCGTTTCGTAAATGTGACTAACTAACTTAAACATACGATCTCTAACCTCTTGTCCTGCATGTTTTAGAATTTCCCCCTGTATCCCATCTACACCTGGCGCCTTATTATTCTTTAAATTTTTTAATGCTACATCGAACTCTTCTCTCATTATGGGATAACCAAGCTCATCTATTTCCACACTATCTTCCTTCTCTAATATATCTCCTAACTCAGGGCCTGCGTAAAGGTTCTCTAAATATTCTTTCCACCTATCTGCCTTTTCCTCATTTTCTATCAACATGACCCCTGCCTCGTTTCTTATATTATTACTACTGTATCCTACATCTCTAAAATTCCTTTTAATTATATTATAAGCCTCATCGGTTTTACCTACTTCAAACTTTTCTTCTACTTCTTTACACATCCTATCAATCCACTGTTCCTTAGCTGCCCTACACTTCCTAATTATTTCCCACTTTATAGCTTTATATCTTTTTTGCCCTTCTTCGTCTGTCCTGTTTTTGTATTTCCGCCTTTCGTCTATTAATCCTACAATCTCATTTGTTATCCAGGGTTTCCTACTTTCGTTTTGTTTAAGACCTAGTACCTCTGTAGCTGCTGACTTTAGACACGTTTTAATGCAGTTCCATTCTGTCTCTATGTCCCCGTCATTCGTTTCTCCAGCCGCCATTAGTATTTCGTCTGTCATTTTACCTAGCCTATCACGCGCTTCGTTACATTTTAGCTTTTCTAAGTCGAGACGTCTCCTACCTGCCCTCTTTTTCAGAATTTTGAATTTAAGATTGGTCTTCATAACTACTAAATTATGATCGCTATCTATATCTGCTCCTATTTTTAAATTTTCTAATTTCCCCACCTGCCTCATTGACCTAACATGTTTGGAGCGAGGCGCTATACGGGTGTGAAACATGGACGGTGGGCTCGGCAGAAAAAAGGGTTAGAAATGTTGTGTTACCGGCAAATGGTGAGGATAGAGAAGGTTAAAAATGAAGAGGCATTAAAAAGAATAGAACAAAGGACTCTATGGAAGTTAATAAAAAATAGACGAGATAGGTTGGTACGACACCTTCTCAGCCATAAATATCTACTTAGAGACATATTGGAGGCAGAACCAGCAGTTAAGAAGAGTAGAGATAGACCTAGATTAGATTACTGTTCGCAAATTGTTAAGAATGTGGGATGTCCTAGTTTTAAGGAAATTCGAAGAATAGCTCAGGATAGTAAGGAGTGGATGTGTATGTCCAACCAGTCTTAGGCCTGACGACCTTATGATGATGATGATTTTTAAATTAAAACAAAACTGATTTCTGTACTAGTAAATAATTTTGGTCATTACGTGAAAGTCTGTTACTACCTTACTACGCATTAATATTAATTTTAATTGTTAATTTTTTGAGGACAGGAACATGAACGATAACTTATTGAATACACATTAACATCATTATTAAATAAATATCATCGATAACAATTTCAGAGAATAGAGATAAATAAAAGAAATTATTGCACATATTTATAACCCAAATAAACGCGATAAGTTGACGGTTGCGTTATCACGCTCTTAAAATGATTTTTTTATACGGCATAATGTGAATAAGATATGCTAGCGACCATTTTAAATAACAAGTGTGACCATCTCGACCACAAACAACTTTCGACTTCTTGTCACTATGTGTGGAAACTTTTTCACATAAACCTTTTTTACTGGCGCTACTTACTCTAAAATATTGTAATGTTCGTGGGTTTAACAAAATTAACTTTTAAGACTGATAACGACAAAAAATATTTATTTACACTAATTATTAAAGAACTTAAAAACACTATTAAATTATAACTAAACTTCGGTTATGAATTATTCTATTTATTTACACTACTGTTGATATATCACATTCACTGCGCTATTTAATTCACTGCTATCACTGTCAATTTATTTCTGTATTCACTTCTGCAACGGTCAATTTATTTCTCCTTCCTCGGCGATCGTCTCT